GGGGGTTTCTAAATAGTCTCGTAAGAATAAACAATATACAGATAGATGTCGATATTTTAAGAGATACAACAAAATCTTATATTTGACCAGGATCATGACAAACCCGCTTCAGAAGGAACACAGTAACAATGGCTTGCTCCTCCACGGTAAATGCTGAATTTAAAATATAGAGAGACTCATCATAATCAAACCCAAGCACAAGCACATATATGCACACACATAGATAGATAGATAGATAGATAGATAGATAGATAGATATGAACAGACTGAGATAGATAGATAGATAGTTAGATAGATAGATAGATAGATATGAATAAAATGTTATCATATCAAAAGGAGATAGATATGTATATGACTTAAATGGTATATATATATATATATATATATATATTAAAGACATTTCTACGTTTAACGTTCTTTTTTATAGGAGCGTTCGGTAGACAAGGTCGAATTTACTGCTTACAAACTTCATCCTTGTCTACCGAACGCTCCTTTGTGTCCGAGTGGGCTAAGGCACGTCAGCGTAAATGACGGTTCCGTATAGGATGCAGGTTCGAATCCTGTCAAAGGACGAATATTTTCTATGAAAATTTCTCGGACATTCAGGCCGGTAAATGTTATTTAATACTGTTTATTATAAACAGAGTATTTACTTAAATACTTGTATCTATAAAAAAGAACGTTAAACATAAAAATGTCTTTAATAAATAAATTGTATATATATATATATATATATATATATATATATATATATATATATGCTATTAATAGTTTCGGAATAAATCTTCGTAGTGTTTTTGAGAGAATTTTAAGGACAATATTTAGATAAGTTTATTTATTCTGCAATTTATGAGCCACTAACATTTATCATCATTTATTTGATATGGAAGCCATACGTGACCGAGATATCAAGGTACGTAAGATCTAATAACGGTTTCCTCGAGGGGACGCAGGTTCGAATGCGACCGGAGGTTGCATAGTTTTCAGACATGATGTCTCGAATATTCAGGTCGGTAGATGTAAATAAATAAATATACCTTTCAATAAATAAATAAAATCAGAGCTTCTATGAGCAAGCATTAAAAATAACGTTTTAATATATATATATATATATATATATATATATATATATATATATATATATATATATATATATATTAAAAGAAAAACAGACCACTTTAAGGTTCAATTATAATAATTTATTTCACCAGAGCCCTTTAAGGGACGCTGGATCATCAGATAACACTTCCAAAATTGAAATGGAAGATGAAACGGGTACTATCAAGTTTATGTAATTTAACAGAATGGGTACCGAGGAGTGGTGGGAGAGATATAGTTGAATTTAGAGAGGGTTTTTTTAATATTTTTTGTCAATCATCCTTAGGATTGGGGGAGGAGGGACCAAACCCTGACCTATATATATATATATATATATATATATATATATATATATGCGTGCATGGTGGGTAATTGAATAGGAAAATGAAATAAAGACTATGAGGTTATGCATTTCCTCATTTGAAAATTCTTTTTCATTATTAATCACTAATGGTTTCATCATCTGACGAAGTCTTTGTTGAGTGTTGAAACGCGTAGAATTTTCTTGTATGTACCTCGTCCCTTTCAGATTTTTCAAAAGTTCGTTGCTTGTAATAAATTATTACAAGAAAAGTATTTCTGATATTAAAACCTATTTTTACAATTTCATCGCGTTTTGACCCCAGTTTGGGGTTAGCTATTTGCTCATAGCTGGGACCCTAACAGGTGCTACTAACCCTGGTCAAGGTGGACTTGGGAACACCAGCAATAAAAAGGTGGTTCCATGCTCCCCAAAATTTCCTGGTCAGAGGTCTTGCTGTCGTTTAAATATCTGGGACGGGTTCTGACAGAGGACGGTAAATGCGACACTGAGATCCGTAGACGTATTGGGATTGACAAAGACACATTCCAAAAGCTGGACAGGAGGATTTCTTTGGTAACAAATAAAAGAATACTAAGCTGTTACATGACTTTTATCCTTCTTTAATGTAAAGAATTTTGGACGATTTCCTCAAAGATGAAGAAAAGATTCGAGGCGACAGAGATGTGGTTCTCCATAAGGATGCTAAAGATATCATTGACCAAGTGTGTGAGTAACGATGAGGACTCAGAGAGGTTGCAAACTTAATATCAGGAAGAGGTAGCTGAAGTTTCTGGGACATATTACGAAGAAGAGAGGCCTGGAGAATCTGATACTCACGTGTCGAATAGAAGGAAAGAGAGACAAGGGAAAATAACGCATGGCATACCTAGCGGGCTAAACAAGTGGTTGACAGAACGTGATCTGGCTTCAAAACTTCTTTTTTTTTTTTGTAGTACTTCGTAATATTTTTATTATTATCTCTTCCCTGTCTGTTCTTCCATCCTATCCCTTATTCTCCTCAGGTTGGTAACACGTTTTCATCCTTCTCCTTCTTTGCTGCCCTGTGCGTGTCCAATTCTTCATACTATCTTTCCTCCTTATCTGTCGTAGAGATGCCAGTTGTCTTTTTCTTATTCTAAGAGTCCTTTTTGTTTCTATAGTCCTTAGAAATTCCTCGTGACCCACATTCTCCCCTCCCCCATAATATTCTCAGCCTTTTTTCTCTGCTACCACATCCTTGATGTATCACGTGCATTATTCTTTTCTGAGGCAATTGTCCAGTATTCGCCGCCATAATGGCTTATGTAGCAGCAATATTCGACAAATGGTTATAAAAGGTTTTTGAATAGTAACTCATTATTTTATGTATAGTGGACTTTCCCGTCTTGTAAACATTATAAGTAGACATCCTATAATGACATCTATCAAAAATAAAATAGTGAGTTACATTTCAATCACCCTGTATATACGCACTTATCTATTTATCTATTAAAAAAAACGTCTTAAAATAAAAAATAATAATAGTTTCTCCATACTTCGTTAAATAATAGTTTCAGACTATTATTTTTTAGAAGCAGTGTATTTTGGCTTAGACCTTCTGAGGCTGACCTTTAAGGTCAGATGGTAGACAAAATAGGGATGTTGGTTTTGATTGGGTGAGACAAACGTGGGAATCTTAGAAAGATAGAAAGTGATTTCAGGAAATTAAGTTTTTCTTGCACGTCGAATAATGCAAACGTTATATTTTCGTGTATGAAAACTAGCATCCCCACTGTCTAGTTAAAAATGTACACGTCAACGTGTTAATAACATCGATGTGTTTTCAAATGCCCTTTGTTGATATCTCCTTCATCTCCAGATTTCAAAAACATTTCGACACCCGATCTGGAGAAGAATGCTGCCTTGTTGTGGAATTGATTCCGTCAACCAAAAAACCTCCCCAGAATAGAGGGGATGAGCCAACAACTTTAGTTAAATTATTTTTCACCAAATCAGTAGCAGATATTACTGAACTATGGACACCATGTGTACTGTTTGACTTTAATCTCTTCTCAGATTTTCGTATATATTTCGTCTTGATAAGGCATATATTTTTCTTGCTGAAATGGTTTGAAGTAAATTGGATTTTGCGTAATAAAGTTAGACATTTTCAAGATCCAAGGTCCGCCTAAAGATTTCATGTGTTTATTAAAAATAGTCGTGGATTCATTAAGTTCCCCTGAGTACTGCAATATATAATTTAAATTAAAATACGTTAAATATATTTCGAAAGGCGTACTGAGGTAGCGAAATATACCTTCCAAAAGTTCAGGAAAGTATTAAGAAACGCAGAAAAAAAAAGAAAGAAAGAGAGATCTGGACTATGTCATATCGCTAACCCTATATGAATGGGAAAGCTGAACAATCTCATCAGATATGGAAAAGAGACGTGAGACAAAAGAAATCTGGTTCTACAGAAAGATGCTGGGCATACCATGAACAGTAAAATTGAGCAACGACGAAGCTGTAGCGAAAATGGAAACAAAAAAGACACTTATACAGAAAGAGACAGCTGATATCTCTAGTGCACATAATGAGAAAAGATGGCTTGGAAAATTTGACACTCACAGGATATATTGAAGGTAAGAGGATCAAAGAAAACTGCGCTTAAAGTACCTAACGCGCTTGTTCAAATGGTTGACAGAAAATGGATTAAAAGAGACAGACTAAGGAGAAACATTGAGTGCGACAGTGAGAAAAGCGTCATGATCGACTAGGCCCTGAAGAGATACCCACACATAAAAGAAGACGTATACTCCCCTTTTCTTATTCAATTCAGAAGACCCCACTGAAGTGTATGGCGTCACATATCCCCCCACTCCCGGGAGGCTCCGTGTCTTGAGATACTGTTAGTCTTTAGACTCACCCCTGACCTAAAGATGCAGGAAAAATGATCGGTTCCCTGTACCGCACCAGGAAGTACCTGACTCCTCATAGCATCCTCTAACAGGTTAGGCTTAAAATGGAGTACTGTTATCATATTTGGGCGGGGACTTCCTTTCTTCAGTCTCCATAGAATTCAAAAGCGTCCTTATGGGTGATGAATTATTTTCCACTATCACAGGTGGGATGTGTCAAGCCCCTTGCTGTTCTATCGTTACTTCCATGGAAAGAGCTAGGACGAAGTACATTCCTTGGTTCCGACGGGTCTAACCTTCAACGCTAGGACCCGACATTCTACATACACAGTCGGAAACCATCCACATTCCTTCCGTATTCCGTTGATTCGAAGTCATTACCATTCGAACAGCTTCTTTTCGCGAACCAGAGCTCTGTGGAACAGGCTCCCAAGAGGGTGCTTCCTCGATCACTACAATCTTAACCTGTTCAAGTGTAGGGTTAACACTTATCATCCGCTTCTCTCCGCATAAACTGTCTCTTTAATCATCTACATCGAATGATATTTGGGCCTTATACAGGGTGAACTCCACCATACTGTAAAAAAGGCATTGTTCCTGTGACTTGCACAGCACGTAAAGTTGTACAGGATGAATTTGCTTGTTCCATGATCAGCCGTTTTTTTTTTTTTTTTTTACTAGGTTTTCTGCCCGGTTTTCACTTACAGCACCTGGTGTTTACAAGCGGTCCCCTATATAAGTACTGACCAAACTCGAGTCTGCTTAACTTTGGAGATCAAACGAGAACCAGGGTTTCACCATGATTACATTTATACATACCAACGGCCTTGAAAGAAGCTGTAGAAAGGCAAATGGCGTATTAGCTGTTTTTTTTAAATTTTATCATATATATTTTATTATATTATATTATCATATTTTATTATATTATTTTATCATATTTTAGTATATTATTTTATTTATTTCTATTTATTATTTCTATTTATTATTATTATTTTTTATTATTTATTATTATTATAATATTATTATTCTTATATTATTATATAATATTATTATATTATTACTACTATTATTATACAATATTATTATTAATTTATTATTATTTATTATTATTATAATATTATTATTATATTATTATATAATATTATTATATTAATACTACTATTATTATATTATATTATTATTATTTTATTATTATTTTATTATAATATTATTATATAATTATATTATTAAACTATTATTATATTATATTATTATGATATTATATTATTATTTCATTATGATTATTTTATTATTGTTTATTATTATTATATTATTATAATTTATTATATAATTATAATATTATTATTATATTATTATATAATATTATTATATTATTACTCCTATTATTATATTATATTATTATAATTTATTATTATTATTTTATTATTATAAAATATTATTATTTTAGACTGTTTTATAATATATTTTATTATATATATTTTTAATTCTAAATTGATTATTTGCTGTATTGAAAATTCTATATTATTCATTTTGTATATTATCTTTTTTAATTAGTAACATGGCTCGGCGTTGCCCGTGCTTGATTCAAAAATCGTACAACTCATACAGTAATCACTATCACTTGACTGAAAATATTTTTGCCCTTCCTTGCCTTTAAAGGAGTGCCCTTTGCCGTGCTGATGTTGCTACATGCCTTACTTTTTGCCTATCTAACACTGCGATTTTTTTCTAAGCTCTATACTAAACATTTAATCTATTACGAAAAAAAGAAGTAAATAAAATGAACACAAAACGATCAGCTTTAAAAAAGAACTCGTAACTGGAAAAACCGAATGAAAAAAGAATGTTAACAACAAATACTTTTCCACACCCAACCCTGTTCTGCGGAATCAGAATCAACATTGAGTTTAAGCAAGCGAATAAGCCAATTGGAGTAAAGTGCCATGCAGATTTAAATTTTTCCCACTTGTGACGAATGCAGCTATCGAATTTTTTCATGCTAGTTAACATTCGTGTCAGTAAGCTGTTGGCTCTTCACGCTGCCCAGTAGAATCTTCCTGCGTATTCGTGGCAGCCAGCTATTGGGTCTCACTCTGGCCAGTAGAAAATGGCCGCAAACTACATGAAAACTGCGGTAGAAGCATGAAAAATCGATTATTTCCACTATTGATGGGAGTTCGAAAATGCAAAGTCGGTCTTGGCCTTCTCGCTAACTTGGAGCATGTGCATGTAAATTTTGGTGTAAATCCGTTGAAAACTGCGGCCGTGTATTCATTACAAGCACACCCACCCACACACCCACACAACCCCTACACACACACATCCTGCCTTTTATAGTTAGAGATTTTAAATTGTTTATTTTCTGTAATTTTTTTAATTTTTTTTTAATTCTAAATAATCTATTTTCTGAAAATTCTAATTATATATAATTATATATTTACTGTACTTAAAATTCTAAATTATTTTTGCTTAACTTCGTTGATCAAACAAGAACCAGTATTTCACCGTGATTTGGAAGGAGCCGTATAAGGATTAGTCTAAAATGCAAATTAAAAATCACGGATACTAAAATCAAGCAAGCACAAAAAAGAGAACGGAAAGTGCGATAATAAGATCCGAAGGCAAATTTGAATAGCGAAAGATGCCTTCTAAAAGTTAAGCTGAGTATTAAGAGATAGAAAATTTCATTAGAAACAAAGGAAAGTCTACTGAACTCTTACTTGATATCTGTCCTACTGTATAGCCGTGAATACTTGACAATCTAATAACCCTTGAGGCAGTAGAAATTTGGTTCTACAGAAGGATGCTGAGTATAACATGGACCTAAGATATGAGCAACGACGAGGTTTTGAGGGAATTTTTTTTTTTTTTGGAAAGAAGGAAAGTTATATTTAATATCAAGAAGAGAGTTTAAGTTTCTGGGATCCATAATGAGGAAGGAGGGCTTGGAAAATCTGTTCCTCACAGGACGGATTTAGGGAGAGAAGAAAAGGAAAAGAAAGTATTAAATACTTAGTGAACCTGAGTGAATGGATAGTGAAACAGGGTTGAGGAGAAAAGAGAGAATTGATTTAAAGTTTCAAGGGACAGGAAATTGTGGAGCGCCATGATTGTCTGCGTACTGAGAAGTCACGGTAAATAAAAAAGAATACATTTTAATGCCCTCTTGTGATAGAAAGCATTTTGGTAGCTGTTCTCAGTTATTTATTAGCCGTATTGAAAATCAACTGGATGATAAATAACATTTTTTGGAGACTATGTTTAAAAATAATACTCACCCCCAATGACGATGCACCACCCGAAATCAGATGTTGATAGAATATACGTACGAAGAGCTTTAGGAGGACGAAGCCTAATCCAACTTGAATTAACTTTAAAACTACAACAATCGGATTGGAACCATACCTCACAAAAACCAATGAACTTCTACAAATAGTAAAACACCTAATCTATTCCATCAACAACGAAGCTGCTCTCTTTAAGAAACAGCTTCACATAACTGAATCCCTACCAACAAAAATCAAAGCGAATACCATCTCCGGCAAGAGATTAAAACAGAAATCAAAAGAATTTGGCCAAATGAAATTACAAAATACTGGGAGGACAAGGCGTTGAATGGCAAATACCTAAAAAAAACGATAGAAGCAGATATGGTTCAACAAAAAAAAACGTATCAGTGGCTGAGGAGCATAGGGTTGAAAGCTAAAACAGAAGGACTAAATTTTCACAGCTCATGAGAAACGTCTCGCAACCAGATCCTATCACAGTAACATAATTAAGGATGGAACTAATACGAAATGCAGGATCTGTGAAAGATATGAAAAATCTTTCGACATATTATCTCAGGAGGTAATGAACTGGCAAAAAATGACATAACAAAATAACGACATATGTGCACTAAAAGATATGCAAGATGCACAAAATCGAAAACACTGAGAGATGATATGAGCAGCAACCAGACAGAGTTACCCAAAATAACGATATAGCTATCCTCTAGGACATGCCAATTCATATTGACGGGGAAATAAAAGCCAACAGACCTGATATTACCATAAAAAGACAAGAGATTCAGGAAGTCTATGCTTAGTAACATAGCAGTATCATCTGAGAGAAACAACCCCATGAAAAATATCGAGAACAAATACAAGGAGCTCGAGATAAACAGGATATGGATAATGATGATTGAGGTTGTACCAATAGTAATCGGAGCACCAGGCCTCGTGAGAAATAGAATGACTATTTTATTAATAGTTTCCAAGGTAACATCAACATACAAGTTACCCAGAAGATCACCCAACGAGGAACATCGCATAAAGTAAGAAAAATGCTATCAATTAAATTACACTTCTCCTATAGGGCGTAAGGACCATAGTTTGGAGCCGGTTCTAAAGGGTACAAAGCAGGAAACATAACAGGCACCGATAATAATAATAATAATAATAATAATAATAATAATAATACACAGACAAAACAATCAAAACTAATCGCCTAGACATCGAGATCAAAAACCACGAGAAGAGAATATACTTTCCTATACACAAACATTTTTTTTTATGAATGGTGGTTTACAAAAATGATCAAAGGGAATTGTCATAAAGCTATTTCTAACCTAATATCAGGTTGGGACAGAAACCCAGGGAAATAATAATAATAATAATAATAATAATAATAATAATAATAATAATGCTCCTTATTGATATGGCACTCCCTGCTGACTGCAATGTATCTTTGAAGCTATTCAAAAAGCTGTCAAAATACAAGGACCTTGAAATAGAAATCTCGAAAATGTGGGATATGGGAACATCAAAAATTCCTGTTGTAGTTGGAGTCCTAGGACTGGTTGGAAAAGATTGCAGTAGACTAATTGAAGGGATTCCTGGAAGTCCATGCCTCAAGGAGATACAAAAAATTGTTCTGACAAGTACAGCCCACACTTTACGAAGTGCTTTATCTATGTAATTTTTTTTTGTCAGTGGAAAGTGTCATGATGCCATTTCTAACCTTAGATCTCTGGGCGGGACCCGGAAAGAAATGTGTAAACGCCAGAAATCAAAGGAAATAAAAATAATAATACAAAGCACACTTACTGAAAAATTGTGTTAGTCCAAAATACAGATTCTGTGATAAATATCCAGAAACAATTGATCATCTTTTATCAGGTTGCACGGTATTGGCACCCACTGAATATACAACAAGACACGATAGATTGGACCAATGTCTGCACTGTAAAATCTGCAATGCTTACAGAAAGGAAACCGCTAAAAACTGGTATGAACACGATCCAGACATGATTACGGAAATAGGACCTTTAAGAATTTTATAGGACTTTACAATACGCACAGAGAGAACAATCAAAACTAACCGGCCAGATATCGAGGTAAGAGACTGCAAAGACAAAAAGTGACTCCCTAGTGACATGGCAATCTCTGCAGGCTGCAATCTATGCTTGACGATTTTCAAAAAAAAAAAAAAAAATACAAAAGAACCTTGAAATCGAAATTTCAAAAATGTGGCGCAGAAGGACAATTAATAATTCCAGTTGTAGTTGGAGCCCTCGGATTAATTGTAAAAGATTCCATTAGACTCATTGAAGGAATCCCTGGCAGGCCATGCCTTAAAGAAATACAAAAAAAATTGTACTTAAAAGTACAGACCACACTTTACGAAGGGTTTTATCCATGTAACATATATGTGATTTTGTTTTCAAATTTCCTCAGTGGAAAATGTCATGATGCCATTTCTGACCTTAGGTCTCTGGTCGGCACCCGGAAAGAAATGAGTATAAATCAGAAATCAAA